CTCTTTGACCTAAACTTAACAACCGTACCGGAGAGCACGGCCTGCTCCGTCAAGACGCTGGTGGAGTCTTTGTGCTTTGGAGAAAACACTATAGGACGGGTCAGAGTTTAGGGTTTAGGGGCCAAGAACCCTGTTCTTTTCGTTTTGTGGTCTGTGTGGCAGTCGTTTCTTGCAGTGCGTCCGCGTCTCTGTATCAACTGCGATTGCAGCTTGTCCGAAATGCAGTGCACCCTGCATTCCAGAGTCCCCCTCGCTTGCTGCTTGAACTTCCGAGCTTGCTTATAGCAAGATGACAGTTTCATTCAGGTATCCACACCTCGGCATCACCTGTGCCATGGTGGGCACGTGGAAAGATGCACCAGCTGGCAGCTGCATGGCCTCCGCATGTGGCTCAGCTCTTGAATATTTTGTGCTCGCTTGTAGCTGGATATACGTCTGCAGGTCACCCTACATAATCCCTAAACCCCAGACTTTGAACCCTCAAGCCCTAGACTCTAAGGCCCTAAACCAGAAACCCTAAACCCTAAACCGCCTAAACCCCTAAACCCTAAGCCCTAAACCACCGGGGGCAGAGTGAGGTAGTGACGCGGGCAACACGGCCACACTGCTGAGTGGCTCAACGGCTTATCCAGACATGTGCAAGGCCCCCGCTTGGACGTTAAAGGTTTAGGGTGTTTAGGGTTTAGGTTTTGGGTTTAGGGTTTAGGGTGTTTAGGCTTTAGGCTTCAGGGTTTTAGGAGTAGGACCTTGGGTTTAGGGTTTTTAGGGTTTGGGGTGTTTAGGGTTTTGGCTTTCAGCACGCGTGTTGTGACCCTTCCTCCCAGGGTGTCCTCGGGCTACCCGCCTGTCACGCGCGACTGTCAGGCAGTGCCCACGACTACTACCGCCGATGCAAGCGAAACTTCCATGGCTCCGTCCCTCTTCATGTCCGCTGCCTTGAGCGCTGCCTTTTCTTGCCTCTGTCTTTTTGGAATCTGAGTTCTGAGATGCAAAGCAAGTCGAATGGGCAAGATAGGAACATCTTTCACTTCGTTCTCAGATCCATGTAGCAATGCAGTAGCGAGAGATGCTGGGCAATCGCCAGCTCTCCATTTGTGCACCACGACATGCTGTGCCAAGGGCGCGAAGGTCTTTTCATCTTTGCACCCTTTGCTCCCTTGCTCCCCTTTTGTGAAGTGCTGGAAGGTTGTTGATGCCTGCTCACCTGTTCTTTAGGCAGCAATTCCGATCCAGAAAGGCTTGGTGCCTTCAGATCCACGGCTAAGTGTTTGCCCAAAGTTCAGCGATTTGTTGTTTTCCTTGAATTGCCACAATCTCCTGAAACAGCTGTTGAGAGATGTGCAAACGATCGGCCCGATGGTTGCGTCAGCAGCAGAGACGCCAATGCCTATGCCGTGAAGGTCATGCAATCTTCGCGCCTTTTAATTCAAGAATTGTAAGATGCCGGAAGGTTGGTGCATGCAAGTGGGCAAACGGTCTGCCCCAGTTTTGTGAGACGTACCTTCCGGCCCAGACAGGCCTAGTGTCCTAGTGGCTTGAGATTTGTAATTACCATGTCTTCGGCGAAGAACTGTGCTGGCGTTGCAGGTTGAAAAAGCGCTACCAGAAGGGCTGTAGACTGCAGATGTGCCTTACGATTTTGTCTGCTTCCGTAGTGCAGAGCATCATTGTCCGACCACCACGACCACCACGACCACCACGACCACCGCGACCACCGCGACCAC